GTTTCTTAGAATGTTAGTTCGTGTACTGAATCAAGTAAGTATTGAAATTTTCCGAAAGCATTAGAAATAATGAAAGTGTCGAAAATTATTTGCAATTGGCTAATGAACTTTATGAAGCATTAGAAACAGAGCCAGATTTTTCTGCTGAAATTAGTGTTTGTCGCCGACGCCACCGAAAACAAATTAGCATGAAGGAGATGAAAACATTCAATTGACTACAAAAGTAAATTTTAAAATTAATCTTTACTACATGATACTTGATACTGCAGCTCCAATATTGACTTTATCAAACTTTTGGATTTCTTTACACATTAATTGATATTACAGGGGGCCAAGAGTCTATGCCTTGCTCGGTTTTAGTAGAGCTGCTCTCCCTAAGTGCGCTCTTGCAGCAATTTGGCACTCATCGGCTAAGAATTTCAACGCGGGCAATCAAACAATTTCGACAGGTGATTAGTTTGCGAGCAAAATGTCAAAGTGTTATGTTCCAGGGTGCACTAATATTAAAAAAAATGCAGAATTGCATGTATTTCCAGCGAGAAATGACAAAGTGCGTAATAAGAATAAAATAACCAAACATTAATCACAAATAAATATTGATTTGGATGTTGTAGATATTTGCTATTTGCCTGGAAAGAATAAAAAATCCTGATCTAGAGAAATTAACACCTTTGCGTTCGTCTAGGTCTCGGTTCGTGCGAGACGCACATTTTGCAAGTATATGCAAAAGAAATATAACTACACTGAAACCTAATGCATTGCCTACATTGAGCATGCCAGGTAGGCGATTCAATATAATATAATTTTTGCAACAACATTTTTACACTAATGTTTTCTTATTTAGGTTTCAGTGGAGATCCATATGCAGAACAAAACTGCCTTCTAGATAGAAACACATACCCGTAATATATTTTACATACACTCTTAATAGTAGCAAATGATTCTAGATATTTTTTTTCAACAGAAATTCGTAACTCAAGATATAAGCAGTGCGGAGATCAGATATGCAAAGAACAAAATTTATACCGTATAACAAATGTGTCGTGAAAGGAAGTAAGGAGAATAAATATACAAAAAAAACATTGAGGCAGAAGTTACCAGAAAGTCTCAAATATGCTGAAAATTTTGCTTATCTTCCAGTAACATTAAATAAGAGGGCTCGTAATTTTATATTAAGTCAGCTAAGAGAACATAGGAAAAAGCCAAAAGAAAGAAAATTTACGCTTAATGATAAAATTCTTGCTTTAACTCTGTATAAAATTTCTCCAAGAAGTTATTACTTTTGGAGAAAAATATTTGTTTTGCCTGCTCCTAAAACATTGAGAAAGTTGCTCTCACCAATTCCTTTGTATAGTAGTATTAATGAGACCCTTTTCCAAACATTGGGTTATGGCACAGAAAAAATATGTGAATAGCAAAAACTGTATACTAATATTTGATGAAATATCATTATCATCCGCAATATTTTACGACCGTAAAAAGGATCATATTGTTGGTGTTCCGGAACAGGCAAATGGTAGGGAAAGTTTATTTGCTGATCATTCTCTTGTTTTTATAGTTAAAGGCATAAAACATCGCTGGGTGCAACCAGTTGAATTTTACTTCTCTGATGGGGGCGTGAATATCATTGATTTAAAATTTATTATTGTGGATGTCATTAGAAAACTATTGAGTATTAGTGTAAATGTTATTGCAACAGTTTGTGATCAGTTTGCTGCTAATTGCAAAATTATAAATAGGCTTCTTAGAGATACTGAAGAACTGTATAAGACACGAAATCTTGAATAGAATAGGCTTATATTTGAAATAGAAGGCCATGAAATAGTTCCTTTATATCAGGGGTGGGCAAATACTTTGGAGCGCGATCCAAAATGAAATTTTCAAAATGTCCCCCGGGCCGGAGTACTATACCGCGTATGCTTTTCACAAGCGGATGTTTTGGATGGAGTTTTTCCCTGCAATTTTTTTTGACAAAAACACTAATTATAAGTATAATTTCAATTTATTGACACATAATTATTACAATTTAACATTTATATTGCATTTCATAAATATAATAGTAAATAGAATTCAAAAAAGAAAAGAAAAACATCAAACGTAGAAATAAATATTTAAAGTTAATGCGAGACGTGAAATCTCGAATGTTCATCTGATATTGTTTTTTCAAAATTGGGTTCCAAATCACTTGTAGCAATCCTTAATACCGAGTGTAGATTTTCGTCAGTAATTTGCGATCGATACTTATTTTTCGTGGAAACCATTAAAGAAAAAGTTCTTTCACAAATATATGTCGAACCAAATAAAACAAGGTATTTTTGAACATAGTTCAAAAAATGTTTGAAATGTTCGTTATTCAAAGCGCCATAGAAAGCACTCAATTCGTTTGAGTGAAATTTTTCTTTTAGTTAATTATTTGATTGTAAGTCAATTAGTTCTAATTGAATTTCAACAGGAGCTTCTTGCACATCAAAATTGAAAGGTTGGCTAATTAATGATAAAGGTTTTTCAACAGCTTTGAAATCTTGAAATCTTCTTTGGAATTCAGAATGCAGGTCTTGTGTTATTGCACTATATTTTAAAAAATCTGTATTTTTCAATGATTCTCGACGTGCTCGCAATGAGGGGAAATGATTTAATAATTTATTATTAAAGTTTTCAGCAAATAAATTAAGTTTTGTCATAAATGCTTTGTCGTTTGAGTGCATATTGAAAGCGAATTGGTTTTTCCCTTGTAGATTTATATTTAATTCGTTCAAATATTTTACAATATCTACTGAAAACGAAAAATCGTTTAGCCAAGCCTCATTTTGCAATTCAGGAAAATCATTTAATTTTCCTTTTATCGACAAGAAGGATATTATTTCATCAAGCAAATGTTGAAATCTGTCCAAAACTTTACCAATGCTAAGCCATCTCACTTCAGTGTAATAAGGAATTTCGTAGAAGTCACTTTCAATTTCTTTCAAAAATTCAACAAACTGTCGATGATTTATGGCACGTCCTCGGATAAAATTCACAACTTTAGTCACAACAGTAACGACGTGATTCAATTTCAAAACTTTTCTGCATAGCACTTCTTGATGAATAATGCAGTGCAAAAATAATATATCGTGTTCTGGTTGTAACTCTTTTACTTTGTTGCGAATTCGTTTAAGTAAACCTACATTTTTACCTGTTAAACTAGGACAACCATCCGTAGTGACGCTTACTATTTTATTAACTTCCCGTAGGGTAAGTTATAGTAATCGTCCAAAAATCGAAATCAAAAATTTTTACATTTCTCGACGTTTTGAAGGTTTCTGAACATTTTGGCATACTTCAGAAAAAATGGATGTGTGTGTGTGTGTGTGTGTGTGTTTTGTATGTCCGCTTTTTTTCGTCCACGTTTTCGGGCGCACGGATCAACCGATTTGAATGGTTTAAAAAACATTCGATTCCTATTGATAGGGAGATGTGCTGATTAGTTTTTGGCAAAGGCAGGTCCAGCCGTTACGGAGATATGGAGCAAAGAGTGCAGAAAATAGAAAGCGAGTTTTTGAGGGAACGGATCAACCGATTTGAATGGTTTAAAAAACATTCGATTTCTATTGATAGGGAGATGTGCTGGTTAGTTTTTGGCAAAGGTAGGCCCAGCGGTTCCGGAAATACAGAGCTAAATGTTAAAAAAATGGCAGTTTTTGAGAAAACTAAGTGTCCGATTTAAATGACTTAAAGAACTTTCTGCTTGTTTCAACAAAATAATTGATTTTGGAAAAAAAATTTTGTTTTTTTTTTTTCAAAAAATTTTTTTTGTAATTTTGGATTAAAAATTCAAAAAATCACCCAAGCTAAGCACAGTCTAAGCGCCACTCTGGTACAAATGTTTACCCAAGTGCGTTTAGACTGTTTATGTATTGGGGCACTTTTCCAATTTTGTGAAAATTATTGAAAAATGTGAAAATGCCGCCAAGCTAAGCACAGTATAAGTGAAAATGTCGCACAGAATTATTTGCAAATGCGTTTAGACTGTGACTATGCAGGAGCACTTTTTCAATTTTGTGGAAATTTGGCAACTATTTTTTTTTTTTTTGAAATTTTATTCGAAATGAAATGACGATTGTTAATGTTCTGGAGGTGATAAATTGATTTATTTATAATTAACTTTCCGTAGGGTAAGTTATAGTAATCGCACAAAAATCGAAAATGAAAATTTTTATATATCTTTACGTTTCAAAGGTTTCTGAATATATAGGCACACCTTAGAGAAAATTAATGTATGTGTGTGTGTGCGTGCATTTGTGTGTGTTCAGATACAAATTTTCGTCGACGATTTCGGGAACCGGGATGAAGCAATTTGAATAATTCAAAAAACATTCGATTCGTATTGATAAGGAGACGTGCTGATTAGTTTTTGTCAAAGGCAGGTCCGTTCCGAAGATATGGGGCAAAAAGGGCCAAAAACGGTAACTCTGTTTTTATGAGAACGGAGCGTCCGATTTGTATAATTCAAAAACATTTTACTTGCATTATCAAGATGAAGATTTGATCAAATTTTCATGAAAATAGGTCTAGCGGTTTCGGAGATTTAGTAAAAAAAGTAAAAAAAAAATAACATTTGGCGGTCAACAATAATCATTAGGCATTAGACATATGCACATCAAATTATCAGATATTTTATAGAGATTTTAACAATAAGTATACATTTTGTTAACATTCCTAAGGGTTCCGTACCAATGCTTATGCGTTAGACAGCGACGCGGCGCTTACGCGCTTCGATATTTAGTCTCTATGCATTAAAGCAGTACGATTGCTTTGAAAAAAAGTTCAGAATTTCCAAAATATTTCAAAATAAATTTTTCAACAAAAAGTAAGTTTTTGTCAAAAATTTATATAGTTCCTCAAAAATCTATTTTTTTTCAGAGTAAATTTTTTTCAAAAATGTTAATCTTTTCAAAAAAAAAATAATTTTTGGTACGGGAAGTTCCAGCAATTTGCCTTAAGGCACGATGCCATGCGGCCCACTAGTTCCAAGTTAAACTTACTTTAACTAAACACTCTTCAACAGCGAGAAAGAAGTCTTCACCAGTAGTTGTACCTTTCATTGGATGCACACTAAGAAGTTCCTCGCTAATTTCACATTTCTTGTTAATGCCGCGAATAAATATTAATAATTGACTTGTATCAGTAATATCGCAGGATTCATCTAAAGCCAGATAACAATAGGTAAAATCAGCAATTTTTGTTCTTAGCTGGTCAAGTAAGTTTCCTGAAATATTTTCAATCCGTCGTACTATTGTTCTTCTCGAAAGGCTTAAATTCTCAAAAATATGTTTCTTTTCAGGACAACATATCTCCGACACTTGTACCATGCATTGTTTAACAAATTCTGCTTCAGAAAACGGCTTACAGAACTTAGCAATTTTGTGTGCGACAACATAACTTGCTTTTGTGGTAGATATCTCTATATTACTTTGTTTAGTAAAACTATTTTGTTGCTTATTCAAGTTTTTTGCTAAGTTTTCTGCTACAGTTTGAAGTTCTTTTGAAGAAAGTGATGCATATTTTGGATGTTTTGTTTTAAAGTGCCTATTTAAATTGTATTCTTTGAAAACAGCAATTGTTTCCTGACAAACTAAACAAATTGCTTTCGTATTAATGTTTGTAAACAGATATTTTACCGTCCAAGCTTCATTGAAGTTTCTGCATTCCAAATCGACTTTTCTTTTTTTAAATTGACTCATTTTACAAAGGTCTACAAACAAGTAACTTAATATAATTTTCCCTAATACACTTTCACTTAATACACCTTCACTTAACACACTTTTTCAATTTTATATTTGCAAACTAATATTAGACTCGAACAAAAAAGAGTATGCGATCAGTGCTAAATCAAAATTAACAATACGCGTGGTGCGACCTGTAGTCGCTCGAAAAGCTCCTCTGTGGCGGAAACAGTGTTGCCAAAGGGGTAGCACAGTGTTACCAATTCTTTGGTGTTACCACATGTTGTTCTATAATAAGGGATGATTCCGAGAGATGGCATAACACCTCCCCCCTTGATAAGATTTTAGTTCGTATAACATTTTAGCAATTTAATGAAGACTCAATCACAAAAATTTCTAAAATTGGAATTTTGTTAGATAGATAAAAGGTATAAAATCTGTGATATAAAAATTAAAGCAAAATGAAATATTTGAGAATAAAGTTTTCATTACCAAACAGAATAGTAGTCGATAAATGAGTCTAAATTTGGAAAATTCTTTCAAAGCATTAAAATTAATCGAGGTGTAAATCATTAAAATTTTTGAACTCTGTGAGTATAGGATCATCGATATGAGGAATTTTCTTCGATGAACACTCGAGTTTAAATGAGGAGCATAGGACATGATTTGATATAGAATAATTTTAAATAGAATTTAAATAGCATAAAAATACAAATATATTTTTTAAATAAATAAATTGAAAATAAGGTACAAATTTGATCTAAGATATATGTAGTAGAAATAGACAATTGGATTTTTTATCATACAGTAACATCGATAACAAGTATTAAAAATTTATATCATAAGTAATCGATAGATTTCAAACATTAAAGAAATTGTTATAAATATTAAATAGAATAAACTAATAATTTATCTTTGAATATTAAATATAGAATGGAATTTGAAATAATTACATATTGAATGTATCGAGAAGTCGAGAAATGGAAAATTGTCTGGTGGACGATGATGTTTAGAAATTTTTAAATAATTAATTGATTTTAGATAAGATTTATAAGGACTTGGTAGAGTTTGATTAAGATATATTAAATTTGATTTAGAACTTTAAAACCACAATGAGTGCGATCGTCGCGAGCGACCCGCATGAGAATTGCGCGAAAATTGTTTCAAGCTCGCGACATCGTCCACACTAGTGCAGTCAGCCGACCGACCATTTTATTACGCCTAATATATATACAGTACGCACACTAATAATGTTTATGTCAACAAAATCTCATAAAAGAGTATAAAAAAATTTGCGTGCGGAATTTTTCAACGGGCCGGATAAAATAAGCAAAAGGGCCGGATCCGGCCCGCGGGCCGGCTTTTGCCCACCCCTGCTTTATATGATCCTACACATTTGCTAAAATGCATGAGAAATAACTTTATTAAGTATAACGTTAGATTTATGGATCAAAAAGTAGATGCATACGAAGCATGTTGGAAGGATATCAGAGATTATTATGACTTTGGTAGCAATTTGGGCATGTTTTGCCAATGCACTACTTTAACGGAACACCACCTTGATGAAACAAAAATGAGAAAAATGAAGGTTAGCCTTGCAGCACAAGTATTTTCTAAACGGGTAGCGCTTGGACTTCAATATTTTATTGTACATGCTCACGAAGCCAATGTGAGTGCTACTTCGGTAGGTACAGGAAAATTTTTGGAGTTCATGAATTACCTTTTTGATCGTGTTAATGGTTTATCTCAATTTCCAACAAATGGCAATACATATATTCCGTTGTGCCATCTTATATATAAAAATGGATCGCAAAATGTGTTGGTAAGCGCATAACTCAACAACGCCTGGACCAATTTGGCCAATTCTTCTTTTAAAATGTTCGTTCATGTCCAAGGATGGTTCTTACGGCGAGAAAAAATCGAATAATTGCCGGGAAACCCCTAAAAACAGCCCTTTTCTTTTTTAATCGAGTAGGCAACGAAATTTGTAAAAAAAAACAATTATCTATGTCATGACATTTTGTGTAGTTTTTGATAATCTAATTTTTAATATATTTATATAAACATAAAAATATCTTTCTATTAATTAACGAGCTATATTGGCAGCCAAAAACATTGATGTAAATGAATTAAATTTCAAAATTCAAGAACAAATTACAGGTGAATCAGTTGATTCGGAAATTAACCAAGATCCACTGGAGTTTTTAAACTCGCTGGATTTGCTAGGATTGTCACCTCACAATCTTCAATTAAAGGTTGGATCGGCAATTATAATGTTGCGAAATATCGACCAACCGCGCCATTGCAACGGCACAAGGTTAGCGATAAAAAAGTACCAAACAACGTGATGGACGCAACTATATTGTAAGGATAGTATAAAGCAAAAGATGTTCTTGCACCGTACATCCCAATGATTCCGACTGATGTGCCATTTGAGATTAAACGACTACAGTTTCCAGTGAGTTTATGGTATTAAGTGTTTGTGGTATTAATTTGGAAAACCCATGTCTCTCACATGAAAAATTGTATGTTGTCTGTTCCCGTATTGGAAAACCATCAGATTTGTTTGTCTATGCGCCAGGTAATCAAACTAAAAACATCGTTTATCACAAAGCATTACAATAACTAGCTGTAAGTGGAATTCTGTCTTAAGGCAATTAGGGCATCGTGCCTTAAGGCAAATTGCTGGAACTTCCCGTACCAAAAATTATTATTTTTTTTAAAAACGATTAAAATTGAAAAATTGAAAAAAATTTACTTCGAAAAAATAAGATTTTTGAGAAACTATAAATTGGACAAAAAATTACTTTTTCTTGAAAAAAATTTTTTTTTAAAAAAAATTTTTTAAATTTTTTTTTTTTTTAAAAAAAAATGTTTTCTTTATTTTGACATATTTTGGAAGATCTGAACTTGTTTTTCAGAGCAATCGTACTGCTTTAACTGCATAGAGACGAAATATAAAGCGGGTAAGCGCGGCGTCGCTGTCTAACGGGTAAACATTGATACGGAACCCATAGAAAAATAAACAAAATTTATACTTATCGTTAAAATCTCTATAAAATATCTGAAAATTTGATGTGCATATGTCTAATGATCATTTTTGACCGCCAAATGGCATTTTTTTTTACTTTTTTCGTTATATCTCCGAAACCGCTAGACCTGCCTTTATGAAAATTTGATCAATTCTTTATCTTGTCAATACAAGTAAAATGTTTTTTGAATTATTAAAATCGGACGCTCCGTTCTCTTAAAAACTGAGTTACCGTTTTCGGAACTTTTTGCCCCGTATCTCCGGAACGGCTAGACCTGCCTTCGCCAAAAACTAATCAGCACGTCTCCTTATCAATACGAATCGAATGTTTTTTGAATTATTCAAATCGGTTGATCCGTGTTGCCGAAATCGTCGACAAAAATTTGTATCCGCACATACATACACACACGCACACACACACACACACACACACACACACACACACACACACACATACATCCATTTTTTCTAAGGTATGCCAAAATATTCAGAAATCTCTGAAACGTAAAGATATATAAAAATTTTCATTTTCGATTTTTTTGCGATTACTATAACTTACCCTACGGGAAGTTAAAAATTGAACTGATTTTTTAATTATGATTTACATGATTAAAATTACTTACTTTTAAATGCTTATAGTGTTTTATTTAATTATTTTTAATTCACACCGAATTATTACCAAGGTGACGGTTCTGTTCAGGATAATTTTTGCAAAGAATAGAAAAAAGGTAGGAACAAAACACCGCCACATTACAATTTTTTTTTGACAGGACAAAGTCTGTCGGGTCGGCTAGTTAATGATAATTCTGTATATATTAAATTCTGGAAAATAGCAAGGCAAGTGTAAGATTCAATGTACTTCATTAAAAAAAAGATTCAGTTAGAACCATAATAAAAACTCCTACCATTAAGAATTGGTTCAGAACCATAGATGGCTTGGAACATATATGGGGAAAAATCCGGTTAATCAATGGCTTTAATTTTTTGTGAAGCGAAATTTCAATCAGAATCCGTTAGAAAACTTTTTTGGCAGCATTAGAAGGCAAGGTGGATGTAATAAGAATCCAAATTCTTATTCTTTTATATCCTCCTTTAGGAAACTGATTATAAATAATTTTTCATCTCGTCATTCGCCTTCTAATTGTGAAGTTGATGACAATTGTGGTTTACCTGCTGCTTATCGAGATTTTCTTGATAGCGATCATGTTTTGAATAGAGAGGTTTTTTATGAAGAAGTTGATGAAGAGCCTTTTCTCTTTCAAGACATGACGCTTTACAGTAAAGCTGCCAACGCATATGATGCAGGGTAATGTATTAAGAAACTTGTGGGAGTCGTTATGTATATGAAAGTATAAACTCCACTTGCATGAAATTATATAAAATTTATTCATTATAAAATATTACTGGTAATTCGACCTTCCATCATCTTCAAACTCTGCTTATGGTTCTGAATATAAGTCATGTAGTGAACTTCCTGAACCTCGATGTCTTGGTGAACTTCAAAGATTCAGCCACGATCTACTGTATTAATTTTTATTTCTATAATATTTTGGGTAAACAGATGGCACTCTGTAAGAATATGAATTTTCACAATGATTAATATAATCTTGTCGGCTTCAGTAGCCTTTTGGATCATACATCGGATTCTCGAATCCTTGTGGCTCTGTGACAAACACTTTTATCAATTGCTTACCATTTACACTGCCATCATAATTAATTGGTACTAGTTATAACAGAATTACTTGATGTTTGGAATGCATTATTTATGGTTACAGTTTCCATTTCCACAGATGTTGCTTTCGTATCTGTTAGGTTCTTATCAGAGAAAGAAGTTGGCTCTTTATCCAAACCAGGATCATTGGTTTCTTTAACATAAGAGTCCAGAATTGTGGAATCCAATAAATAATTTATGTCATCATTTTGTTTTGACACGTCGCTGTCGATTTGTTGAGTTGAGTTAACGGACAAGGAGAGATTGAATTGCATTCCAATGAAAAGTCTAGGCTCCAAATTATTTTTTGTATCAGCAATAAACACTGAGGTCTGGGAATATAAAATGGGTAACCACGAAAGTCCGGTTCAGGTAGTAAGTGCGTTAACTATGATGAAGCGAGGACTGGACGTACCTTATAAGTCGCCTCTGAAGACCAGTGATTATGGTGCTGCGTCAAAATCTATATTTCTTGAATCCTCAAAAAATAAAACTGCTTCTTTGTCTTCATCTCAATCGTCGTAGGTCACCAATGTGAGAGTCGTTATGTATACGAAAGTATAAACTCCACTTGCATAAAATTATATAAAATTTATTCATTATAAAATATTACTGATATGAAAATATAAATGACAAGACCAATTGTTTTTCTACAATCACTAGCCTGCTTGATTTCCCCACAAACTGATAAACAGTATTCAGGATTGACACACTTGTGCAATTGAGTTATTGAAAGATCCAATTAGCAAAGATGAAGCTTCTTGGATTGAATATTCCAGGTACAACATTTTTTGATTTATTTCAAAAATGTTGTCAAGTATTGGATCATTTCATACAGACACTATGCACTGCAGACAATATTAAACGAAAACTATTAGAAACACTAGAAAAGTATGTTCTTCATTAATATAGTTTCAGTTGCACTAAGCATAATTTAAAAGCCTTTTTTTTTTCAAATCTATTGTAATATTTTTTATTAAAAACTGGTGCAACAGTGGTAATCGATGTCTCACGGGAAGATACGTCAATTCTAATAAACAAGATATAATAAAAAGAAAAGCTATGGATAAATATAATAAAACTCTGAAGACTAAAAGAGCTTTCTGGCGACAAAAAATCCATATGTTTAATTTTTTTATTTGCTTTTGTTACAACTCTTATTCGCTCGAAGAACATTCTTTTCCAGTATCTTTCTGGATAGTCATTAGTCTATATTATATGTATTATGTCTATATGAAATGTTACTTATAATGTTACGTATGTATTTATGTTTCGTATGTACATTTTTATTTATGTTGATTAATTGGGGGACTGGTGATACTATCAAATCAAATAGTTGATACTTGAACTGTATGCAATATTCATATTTTTTGTGATTGTTTCATGAATGTGGTTTCATTTATAAACTTATAGTGATACATAATGAGGTTGTTAAATGTTTTAGCAAAAGTGGAAATTGTAAATAAGTTGCTACTTCGCGGAGTATACTATACAGTTTATTTCCGTTTATTATTGGTGATAATACGTTTAACAGATGTCGAGAAGTATATAGATCATGAATTGTACAATAATTTACTGGATAACAGCAAACTAGTTTTCAAATGTCAATAGTAATTCATTTTAGTAAGCTGTTGATATGCTTTTCAAATGCAAGTAATTTTGGTTTTATCCTTTAATTAAATTGGCAAAAGTGTTTGCATATAACTTTCTTGAACTTTTGTCAGTTACTGTTATGACAACATAATGTTTTCTTTTTCTTTGTAATAATGATGATAATGATATTTCGTTCAACATTTTAAAGCAGATTAACACAATGTGCAGAAAAGGTTTTCAGATAGAGACTATACATAGATTTAATGTAACTTTATCATTATTTGATTGAACACCAAGATAAATATAAACAGAGTTAATTTATAAGAATATCTTAGGCATAAATTTTATTCCTTATTTTTTAATATGTTCCGCATTTTTTATTGCAATATAGATTTATAACCTTGTTGAATTGTTGCTGCTGGGATTTGAAGTTAACTTTAGAGCGCATGAAGAGAGATCTACGTTTTTAAAGTGGCTTTCCATTCGTTCAGACGTTGAGCTGTTAACATCGGCGAATAAATAATCATTACATAAATATCAAAAAGTACTAATATTTTATCTACCTGTCCAGCAACCTGTGTTAGTGTCTGCATTGTGTACAAATAGATACCGTTAAACACGTGTCCCCTTGCCGGGGGCACGCAGTGTCGTATAAACATTGTGTATTTTATGTTAATATAAGTGGTTATTAAGTAAATTAACCGCATTTTTGTTGTGTTAATTAATTTAATGTCTTCATGGAGTCCGATACCGGACAATTAAAGGGCCGTCCGCCCGATAAAAATCCTCCTACATGTTCGGAAATTGGCGTGAGTGTTGCAAATGCAATGAATGTGTACTATGTCGGAAATGAAAATAATACAGATTTACGTAATTTAAATAATGAGGAGAGCATAATAAGAAGTGAACATATTCCAATGCAAATTAACAGTGCTGAAACGGTGATTGAAGAGTCAATTCGAATTGAAGATTCGATTAATATGGATAATGTGTGTGACAAAAGCAATGAAGCACAAATTATTGAAATGACTGAGCAAGTACCTAGTGATGAGAATTCTAATCGAATTAACGTTGATAAAATTCATCTACCGAATCGTTTTGATATGTGTGATACTGGACCTTTTTACATTTACGTAGAATCTTTAAGTAAAAACATTGGACGTTTACACCCAATGGCTCTCGGAAAATTACTACACAGATCACGATCGATTCCGAAAGAAGATTTGTTGGAGATTATCGTGATTGGTAACAATAAAGTCAAACTAGTTCTTAGGAACGGTAAAGCAGCAAATAGTCTTCTTGACGATAGTTTTTTTACTGATAATAAATAGAAAGCTTACATTCCTAAATACCTATTAATTAGGGAAGGTATAATCTTTGATGTAGACATTAATCTCACGGCAGAAGAAATATTAGAAGAGATAGAATCAGCTATTCCGATAATAGATGTAAAGTGTTTTGTACCAAAAAACATCAACAAGCGCAGAATTAACTCGCAATGCGTGAAATTATCTTTCAGAGGTTCAATTCTGCCGGATAAGGTAGGCATACATTCTGGTAAATGCCCAGTCAGCCCATTTATTAAGAAGATTACCCAATGCCACAAATGTTGGTGTTTTGGCCACGTTCGGGAAAAATGCCGGAACGACCTAACGTGTCCCAAATGTGCAGGTCCTCATATTAAAGACGTATGTATAGAAGATAACAACTATCTATGCTGCCTGTGCAAAGATAACCACGAGACTTATAATAAAGATTGCAGAATATATAAAAGATATAAAAATATTAATGAATTAATGGCAACACAGAATTTATCTTTCTACGAAGCAAAAAAATCTTTGATAACGATAAATACTCGAGAACAGTTAGAGTCAACCTTAGCAGCTTGAATAAAGATAAAGATTTCCCTCCAATGAAAATCAAGAACTCTAACCAGAGTGGGACTTTAATAAACAATAAATTCATGGTTCTATCGGACCTGGAAGAGGAGGAAGACCAAGGTTATGTTGCAAACTTCCAAACATTTAATAAACCTAAAAGGATTCATGTTTCACCCTCAACCAAGAGAGAAAAGAATGGGGCTGTAATCGGACATAGCATAAAACCTGTTTATAAAGAAAATATGGCTGACAAGGGAAATTTTATAAACCCTAGAAAAAGATAAAAAAACAAATCAGATTCTGATTCTGAAAATAAAGTAAAATCCAATAGGAAAAGTGAAGATCCTAACACATCAGGTGGCCTATATCATTTCATTACGCTGCTAAAGGACGTCTATAATCCAAATGATCCCGTATTGAAAAATTTGTTAAGTGATGTTTTTCTCAAAATGGTAAAAATTAAACACAAAATAGATCCTGCAAGTTTAAAAAAGAAAAATCTAATAAGGATTTACCTGTGAGTTCAGAAAAATAAATCAATCAGTACTCCTTTCATTATGAAACAAATAAACATTTTACAATATAACTGTAGATCAATGTTAGCAAACAAGAGTAGTATAGAACATTATATGTGGTCTCATAAAATTCATGTGGCAGGTCTGTCCGAAACCTGGCTTAAAGAAGGTCACAAATATTTTGTCAAAGGTTATCGGATTTTCCGAGAAGACAGAGTTGACGGTTATGGCGGTACTGCCATTCTAGTCAAAGACAACATATTATGCGAGAAAATTAACCACCCATTTCAGTGCCATCTTATCCAAATGTGTGCAGTGATTTTAAAATTAGAAAACCCGGTATGTATTATTTCAATCTATTGTGCGCCGAACTCTAAGGAATATTTCAAGAATATTAAAGATTTAATTGAAACTATCTCCATGCCTATACTCATAATAGGGGATTTAAACTGCAAAAATTTAGCTTGGGGCAGTAACTCCATTGACAGAGGAGGCGAGATTCTATACAACATTATTGAAGACCTAAACCTCACCATAATGAATGATGGAAGACCAACCACTATCAGCACGGCAAGTAGGAAAGGAACGCCAATAGATCTCACTTTTTGCTCCAATAATTTATATGACAAAATCCAGTGGGACATTTATGCGGGCAGCTTAGGATCTGACCATTTGCCGATTAACATTACGTTAAAGACTAATTTTGATGGAAAAGACTATATATATCCCTCTAGAAAATGGAATACTAAAGAGGCCAATTGGAATAATTACGCATGGGAAATAGAAGATAAGTTGAAAAAAGTGGTACTCCATGAGGATCATAAGTCTAAATATGATGCCATTATCGAGATTATAAACGAAGCAGCTGGTAAACACTTCAAGGAACGTAAAACAGTGGCAATTAAACAATTTAAACCCGCTATCTGGTGGGACGAAGAATGTGAAAATCAGATCAGGCAAAGAAAAATAGCGTACAAAAAGATGATAGACGAGTTTACTTATAACAATTTTATTGAGTATCAAAAAATAAATGCTATTACAAAAAAAATTCTCAAATCCGAAAAGAGAAAAAAGTGGATGGATTTTACAAACTCACTCAATAGTAATATTAATACATCAAAGCTTTGGAATATAGTAAAAACTTTTACCAACAAAAATAATAGAAACTCATCTAAGCCTCGAGTCGCTAGCTCATTCTTCGAAGACATGCTAAAAATGTTCGTTCCAGACTTGGTCTCCAACGAAATCAATCTGAATTTTGCAAATAATCTCGAAAGAGATCCCGATGACTTAAATTCTCCTATCAGACTATATGAATTTGATAATATATTAAAAAATAAAAAAGACAGCGTGCCAGGAATGGATAATATCTCATACATTATGTTAAAGAAGAGCCCCATAGCATTAAAATGTTTAATCATAGAGGTATTTAATTCAATTCTTTCTACATGCTGGATTCCAGAGGACTGGAAAAAAATTATAATTATTCCCATCTTGAAACCGAATAAAGATCCATTGTCGATAGAATCCTACCGACCTATCTCTTTATTATCATGCTTGAACAAGACATTTGAAGCCATCGTCAAGAATAGACTGGAGTGGTATTTAGAAAACAAGTCTCTTTTCAATCATAACCAATTTGGCTTTAGAAGAGATCAAGGCACAAGTGACCTCTTAAGTACCTTATCTAATGACATTCATATATCCAATTCAAATAATAGATACGTGTTATTGTTAGCGACGGATATACACAAGGCTTACGATAATGTTGATCATAGCATTTTACTTAACAGACTTAAGAAGTTGAATATTCCCCATAATATTATAAAAGTGATAATTCTTTTACTAACGAATAGGTTATTTTATGTAAAATACAAAAATAAATTAATAGGTCCCAGAGTAGCTCTAACAGGCTTACCACAAGGATCGATTTTGAGTCCATTATTATTTAATATTTACATGTCGGATTTTTCTGCAGGAACCCAAGACGACGTTAGGAAACTACAATATGCTGATGATTTATTTTTGTATATTTCTTGCAACTCGCTTGAGGAATGCATTCACAAAATAAAGCGGTCGAACACAGGTGTCTCAGAATGGATGAGGTCCAACCACCTAAACCTTTCCTTGATCAAAACAAAGGGCATCCTGTTCACTAGGCACAGAAAATTCCTTTACCCTCAAGAAATCAATATGGGAAATTGGAACTGTAAGATAGACGATAGTCTGAAAATTTTAGGGGTTATCTTTGATAAAAAGATGACCTTCCGGGCGCACGTTGAAGAGGTGGTCAAAAAATGTGAAGTAGGTAAGAACATCATAAGAAGATTGGTTGGAACTGACTGGGGAGCCCACCCAAGTGCATGTTTGGCTATCTACAAATCCATAATTAGATCTCATATTGATTACGGATACATCATTTACGGAGGAATCTCAACTAATATACAAGGAATGTTAGATAAGGCTCAACTCTCGGCTTTAAGATTGTGTTTGGGAACTATAAGGTCAACACCTCGCATTGCCGTTTTAGCGGAAGCCGGGGAAGCTCCATTGAATATCAGGAAACAAATATTAACCAATAGATTTTTAATTAAAAAATTCAACTCGGATTCAGCTCGAATCCTGAAGCAATTGGAAGAATTAGCTGTTCTGCATTTTAGAGCAAACTATTGGAAAAACAGACCTACACCTCCATTAATAACTGGCTTTTATAATTTGAAACCTTTAGAAGACCTAATAATTACAAATGACAAACTTCCGTATCATAGTCATTCTTGGAAATACTCATTTACCAAGAAATATATAGGATTGAATGATTTCAACTATACGACACATAATTCTAACAAAAATATAATAAACTGGGAGTTTGACAATTGGTTAGATACGGAATGGAAAGATTTTACGGTTATCTACACCGACTGTTCCAAGTTAGGAAATAAAGTTGGATGTGCTGTGTATGCACCTAATAGAGATAAACATTTACAATTCAATTTACTGGGTTTTGCCTCAGTCTTTTCGGCAGAACTTACAGGTATTACTGCTGCCTTAGACTTCGTTATACAAGAAAAGATTTCAAAAACCATAATCCTAACTGACAGTAAATCTGCACTTCTGGCTCTAAACCATCCTAAACAAAATTGCAATTTTTTAATATTTGACACTATCCACAAAATAGAAAGCATCTTAGCAAATAAATATGAGTTCAAATTAGTATGGATAAAAGGGCATTCCAACATTCGTGGAAACGAATATGTGGATGGACTTGCAAAAGAAGCCTGTTTATCAGTTTTTCCTTCAAGAAAGGCTCCTGCGACTGATCTTAAAAGCTGGGTAAGGAAACAAGGATTAAGGTTATGGCAAAATGAATATGATATGGAAGACAGAAAAGGAACCTTATTTAAATTTTGCAAACCAAAAGTGTCTTTCAGTACATGGTTTGCCAAATCCAGGTTTAACAGAAACGAAATAACCATCATCAATCGTATTAGATCTGCACACACATTTTGCAAATCTCATCTTTTTAGAATAGGTATGGCAGAAGATCCTTTCTGTTCGTGCGGTTTGGAAATACACAATCTAGACCACATCTTCTGGAAGTGCAAACTCTATGCTAGTCAAAGAACATCCCTACTACAAGAACTGTATAAATATAATTTCATTTTTCCTATTAACACCACAATAGCCTTTTCCACTAATGATGAAAATATATATAAAATTTTTGTTTATTTTTTACAAAAATGTAACATTAAATTATAGTTATTAAGTATTAGTTATTAAGGTTTTATGAATTAAATCACAATCTTATGTTGTAAACAATTTGTAAAATATGTATATTTCTCTGAAAGTTATAAATTTGTAAAATATTATTTTGTAATAAGAGGCTAAATGACCACACAGTCAAATGCCATTAATAAAATAAAATAAAAAAAAAAAAAGAGAGAGATCTAGTAACTTCTTTCTCTTGTTTGTTTTTTATTATTTGGATCCATTCTCAATGCTTTTATTATATGGTATAGATAATGTCTAAATTATATTTATATTTTCTAGAAATCTAGAAATATATATATATATATATATATATATATATATATATATATATAATTTAGACAGTTTTTTGGCATGAACTGCTAGGGTGAGCTAGTTGTGTGAGCTGAGTTAAACTCGATCTCAAATCAGGGAAGAATGGTGTGTGATATCGTCCATTGCCATTTCATTATGCAGTGCCCCAAATGGGCTATTTTTGGATAAGTAATTGCTTACTTAACACAAGGCATTAAAGGACCATGTTTACTTATATACATGATGGCTAATGTGCACATTTGTGTATATTTCTAAGTATTTCTTACATATTTTATAAAGCTTACTACCATCTATTATTGTAATCATATATGATGTTGTTATATATTTATTTATTTATTTATCATATAGCCCACAGAGTAGCTCCAGGAGGACTTAAAAATACAATTTTAATATACATATTATAATAATACAAATATACTAATATATGATATTAATATTAATAACATAACATAATATAATTCATAACATAACAATACATAACACAAAATAAAAAACTCTTAAAATATTCCTAACGGTAAAACTAAATTATATATGATGGAAATAACATATTCGTGACAAAATATTAAGATTAACTTGTACAGATGGTAATTAATTGTTTTAGTGAAGTATTGTGAATATCGATATATTTATTAATTGAGTTGAAATTAGAGGGCATTAGCACTATAGGTGAGTTTAATAAAGCATTAGTCTTAGGAGTAGGATATTTGAAAAACATTTGAGTTCGGGATGAGAGTCTAGGAACGTTAAAGGATAGTTGGTCTAGAATTTGAGGACAATCTATGGCATTATTACATAGTTTATACAGGAACAAAATACTATAAGTGAAACGACGTGTTGCAAGAGATGATACGCAGAATGTATTAAGTAAGATATTGTGGTCGAAACCACGTTCAGGATAAATTTTGTGTTTTTTAAAATATAGATATTTTAGAAATTTTCTTTGAACCTTCTCTATCGCATCTGAATTATTGCTATGGTTAGGATACCAAATGATCGATCCATACTCCAGCTTTGAACGTACAATTGCATAGTATATGCTAATTAGTGACAGATTAGATTCAAATTTTTTGCAGTTTCTTAATATTATTCCTAGTGATTTTTGTGCCTTGCTACATATGTTAGATATGTGATCTGTAAAAGTCAAACTAGAATCAAATACAAAGCCTAAGTCAGATATTTTATCACACCTTTCTATGCAGGTGTTAGAAATTTTATAATCAAAATGCGTCGGAACGCGCTTGTTTGTAAAACTAATAATTTTGCATTTAGATATATTCAGATCCAGTTTATTTTGAACACACCAGGAGTGAAATGAATTTAGTTGAGACTGCATTACTAGGCAGTCATCTATTGAGTTTATTTTAAGATATAACTTGAGGTCATCTGCAAACAATAGATGTGGACAATTAATTACTTCCGATATATCGTTGATAAAAATATTAAATAAAAGAGGACCAAGGGTGGACCCCTGGGGCACACCCGAGCTGACAATATACAATATTAATATAACAAAATATATCATGTACAAACATTTATGCACATTTTTATGCTATTTGTGCATTGTTTATAAAGAGAACTACTTACGATATATTTTCATATAATCTAAAATTATTAATTATTGTTAAAAATAAATGCTTTTTAAAATTCAATTTCTTTTTTTTTTAATTTTTAATTTATAAAGAGAACTACTTACTATGTAGTGTTCATATAATGTAAAATGTTATTGATAAAAATAAATGCTTTTTAAAATTCAATTTTTTTTTTTAATTTTGAATTCAAACGGTTTACAATATTGGTGCATTTCTTTAGTATTTTTTGTACGCACCCGTTCTACGGTCGACGCGTGCGCACCAAGGGAGAGCAGCTCGAACTTGGTGTCAGTGGCAACGAAATATCTACGATTGCCCGAGAGAGCGATCTATATACTCTTCTTTTATCTATGACTGGACAGTCCAGTGTCCCAGCCCATGGCATGTGCAGTAAACGGAGCGTTTTAGGTCTGAATTTTTTTACTGTGCTCCGAATTGAATGAAATTTTGGAATTAAGTTTATCTTACCCTCAAGTTCAAAAGTGAAAATAATTCGGGTTGCGCCATTACCCCCCGGGGGGATGACATACCCTCTCAATTGTGTAATTACCTGTTTTCAAAATAACGTCGGAAATCGATAGAAGAACTAATTATCAGAAAAAAATGTCTTCTATAGTTTTTCAAAAAAAGTAATACTTTTCAAGTTACTGGCCACTAAAGATTCATATATTTTTGACGTTTTTCTTCGTTTTTTTTGCAAATATCTCCTAAAATATACATTTTAACGAAAATCATGTAATGAACAAAATAATATCAATAAAAATATTAATAAATCGGTATTACATAAAGTGTTCTAAGAAAAATATTGGGCAAGATTCGAAAGAGCAAAGTCGTTTTTTATTTCGTTCAAGATTTAATTGTTGTATTTAAAGCCATCTGGTGTCGAGGTTTTACATTTTATGCATTTCGGTGAAATTGGGTTTCATAGTGCTCAACATAAGCTTTAAAATGAGTGCTGTTACAAGTTTTTTGCGTGTAAAATGAGTGAGCTATCATGCAAATAAGAAGCATATACGAAGTTTTTTTCTTTTAAATCATATGGTTTAATGAGCGCCATTTCCACCAAAATTAAAATAATTCACATTCCATCTAGAATTTACTTTATTATAGACATCTTGATGGATTCTAGCAGATTCACTACTTTAGTACAAACTATTTTCAGAAAACTCACGATTTTATAAAAACTTTTTTCTCCAATTTTTTAAAAATTGAAATTATTTTTATTATATCTTAAAAGGAATAAAAGATACGTATAAAAGCATATAGATAAAAATCAAAGGGATCTTTCTGGCTTATTTTTGTTTTTTATTATTTTTCTTTCACACAAAAATTGACAGAGTTATGAATGTTTAAAGACTGCGCGGCCGCGCAAATTGGAAAAAAAAGTTTTTATAAAATCGTGAGTTTTCTGAAAATAGTTTGTACTAAAGTAGTGAATCTGCTAGAATCGATCAAGATGTCTATAATGAAGTGAATTCTAGATGGAATGGGAATTATTTTAATTCTGGTGGAAATGGCGCTCATTAAACCATATGATTTAAAAGAAAAAAACTTCGTATATGCTTCTTATTTGCATGATAGCTCACTCATTTTACACGCAAAAAACTTGTAACAGCACTCATTTTAAAGCTTATGTTGAGCACTATGAAACCCAATTTCACCGAAATGCATAAAATGTAAAACCTCGACACCAGATGGCTTTAAATACAACAATTAAATCTTGAACGAAATAAAAAACGACTTTGCTCTTTCAAATCTTGCCTAATATTTTTCTTAGAACACTTTATGTAATACCGATTTAATATTTTTATTGATATTATTTTGTTCATTACATGATTTTCGTTAAAATGTATATTTTAGGAGATATTTGCAAAAAAAACGAAGAAAAACGTCAAAAATATATGAATCTTTAGTGGCCAGTAACTTGAAAAGTATTACTTTTTTTGAAAAACTATAGAAGACATTTTTTTCTTATAATTAGTTCTTCTATCGATTTCCGACGTTATTTTGAAAACATGTAATTACACAATTGAGAGGGGGTGTCATCCCCCCGGGGGGTAATGGCGCAACCCGAATTGTTTTCACTTTTGAACTTGAGGGTGAGATGAACCTAATTCCAAAATTTCATTCAATTCAGAGCACAGTAAAAAAATTCAGAGGTTATACCCTTTTTTCCTCTCCGTTTACTGCACTACTATGGCAACTTTCATTGGCAACACTGCTAGAAGGTGAAAGTGAAGAGGAAGCAAAGCTTTATTTTATTTTTGAGAGTTCACGCGTATTCACGAGCTTCCCTACTATAATAAATTCGATTTTTGTGCAGACGTCCCGAGTTTATGTAAATTACTATAATAATTTAGACATTGATGCCTGTTTGTATCAGAATTCTGATAAAGATATCTTTCGGCAAAAGAGTGAATTATCAGTATTTACAAGTTTGTTTGTATTTCATATAAAGTTCTTCATTTATCATTACAGTTATTCACTATGTCTGGAAAGTTTGGAAATGTTAACAAATGCGCCATCCCTACTGCAAGGGCAAGTGACACGTGGCGTCAAAAACATTTAAATAATTTGTTTTTCATAAAGAAGTTGGACCTGGCACTGCTAAGTACGGGCTTCAAGATGAAGATTATATATTATTAATATTCATGACAAAAATGCAATGTAGAATGTTGAAGAACTTTGGTACTGACAGAATTTGTATTGATGGTAGTCATGGGACGAATGGCTATGGGTATCGACTACAAACACTGCTTGTGGTAGATGAATTTGGAAGCGGCATACCAGTCGCATTTTGTTTTTCAAATAGGCAAGATGAGTTGATGTGTAAAATATATTTCAAAGATATTTATAAGGTGTTAGGTATACTTGAAACAAAGGTATTCATAACAGAGGATGCTCCAGCTCATTTTAATGCATGGTCATCTGTCATGGGTGTGCCACAGCATAAACATTTATGCTCCTGACATGTGTCCAGGAGCTGGAAGAGAGCAGTATCACATAAGATTGTAAATAGAGAAAAGCGAGAAGTCATTTACCAGAAATCAATAGAATTAAAAATGTTTTTAGATGAGGATGATTTTTGGAGCAATTTAAATTCTTATTTGAATGAGCTTGAGAAAGATGACAATGCTAAATTATTTGTTACATATTTTAAGAAATTTTATTTCAACCGAGCAACTACTTGGGCGTGTCGTTATCGGAAAGGTTTAGGAATAAATACTAACATGATTTTAGAAAGTTTTCATAACCAAATGAAAACTCGAGTTTTGGGAAGAAAGTGTTCTAGGAGGATGGATAAGGCCATTCAATTGGTGTTACGCCTCGCAATAAATACTTTTATTCAGAGGACTCGTAGAGTAAATGGAATATTACTATCGACAAGGCAGAGAGATGTACGTGTAACCCATGTAAGAGGTGCAGCAGTATTACCGCATCGTATTCTAGAATGCATTACCAACACACAATGGAATGTATTGCCAACAGATGATACCGTTGCACCATACGTGGTTATCAAAAAAAATCAAACATGTTATAGTACATGCATGAGATACGAAGGATGTAAGATTTGTTTGCATACGTACACATGCAGTTGCATAGATTATTTGATAAGATCAAATATTTGCAAACACATCCATGCATGTGCAAGGGTTTACACGCATGTCAGTTTGTGTGCCTTCTACCTAACTTTTAACATGTGGTGCGCACATTGGTGCACATTTAGGCTTCACTCTCGCATCGGAATACGGAATTGCGAGATGTACTATACAATAAATAATTCGTTTTAAAAAAAATTATATAATTGTTCCGATTTAAAGTAACAAGAATTGTTTTTTATTGTGCATTTGTGAACAATTATCATTATGAAATAATTAGGATTACTACAATTACATGTAGGTTTTTACACGATACCACTTTCTTATAAATTAGTTTTAATTAATAGTTTTAATCTGTGTTTTTAACCCTTTACGGTCCGTTGTCGGCTCCAGTTCGACATAACAAAATGTGTTCCGCAACTCCGTTGTCGGAACCAGTCCGACATGCTCTGATCACATCAGAATGTTAACAAATATAACGAGTCACCAACTGTTAATGTTTGAAATTAACATTAAAACGCATTTGTAATAAAAAAAAAAGTAAAACTGAAAAATATACTATTATTTAAGATAATATTTAACGGGATTAATTTTCGAGTGACTTACTCGAGATCTTTTGTAAAGACTGAAAATAGTGATTTGGAAGATGAGCTAGATTTTGCCGTACTTGCCGAAAGTTCAAATGGAATATTCGTAAATGAGCCGGAAATTAGTTTAGAGTGTGACAGTGATGCTAGTGATGATTGTAATGAAAGTGATGTTATCATAGCGCGTAAAAGACGAAGAATTCCAACTATTGAGTCTGATTTTGAGAATGAAGGGCATGCAGATTTCAATGGGTGGACTGATATATCAGGAAGTGATATCCCCTTACAAAATATTATGTTTTCAACAGGAGATAAAGTACCAGGACCGCAAATTTTCAACATTGACGAACCGATAGAATTTTTCAAATTGTATTTTACGGATGATCTTGTAGACGAAATTGTAGCGGAAACAAATAACTACGCTAAAATCAAATTAGAGAATAAAAAACTGCGTAAAGATTCTGTATGGCATACTTGGCGTGAAACGAATAGAGACGAATTTTTTGCATTTATTGGAGTCATCCTTAACATGGGTACGATGTACTTGCCAAATATGCAAGACTATTGGCCAACCAACAAGAATACTAAAATATATTTCTTTGCGAATGTATTCACAAGAAAAAGATTTAATCAAATATTTTGGATGCTGCATTTGAAGACAATCGACCCCCAAAGGTGCGTTAGGACACGAATTCAGCAGGTGAGTGATTTTTTACAATATCTCAACTCAAAGTTTTCTGAGTTTTTCGTACCCGGTCAAAATATCTGTGTTGATGAATCAGTTGTAAAATTCAAAGAAAAGATAAGTTTTATAACTTATAATCCAAATAAGCCTACCAAATGGGGCATAAGAATTTACGTTTTAGCGTATTCCGAAACAGGGTATCCGTAACAATATCCTTCCCTATTATGGAAGTCAGTGGTGTACCTAGAACTTTTGCCGCCCGGGGCGATCTCCAGATTGCCGCCCTTTCTATTACAAATAGTGTTTTTTTTTTAAATTAATATAAATAAACTAGTCGCGCATGGCATCGTGCATTAAAGCAAATTGCTGGAACTTTCCGTACCGAAACATAATTTTTTTAAAAAAGGTTAAAATTTTTTTGAAAACTTTGAAAAAAAGAATTTTAAAAATTTTGGAAAAAATTGACTTTTTTGAAAAATCTGTTTTTTTTATATTTTGAAATTTTTTGAAAATTTGTAATTTTTTTTTTCAAATCAATCGCGCTGCGTAGCTGTTTTGGAGACAAAATATCGAAGCGCGTAAGCGTCGCGTTGCAGTCTAACGGATAGACATTGATACGAAACCCATAGAAATGCAAATTAAATTTATTCTTATTACTAAAATCTCTAGAAAATATCAGATAATTTGACGTGCATATCTAAAATACCTTATGATCATTTTGGACCGCCAAATGTCTTTTTATTTTTTCTTATTGAATCTCTGTAACTACTAGACCTGTCTTCCCAAAAACAGTTCTTCGTTTAGGTAATACAATGAATTGAATTGAATTATTTAAATCGGACGCTTCGTTTTCTCAAAAACTAAATTACAAATTTTGGCTTTTTTGTTCATTATCTTTGAAACAGCTGGACCTGCCTTTATCAAAAACTAATTAGCACGTCTTATCAGCACGAATAGAATGTTTTGTTCAAATCGGTTGATGCGTGTTCCTACAATTATCGACGAAAGTTTGTATCTAAAAACATCCATTTTTTCTAAGGTATGCCAAAATTCAGAAACTTTTGAAACGTAAAGATATATAAAAATTTCCACCTTCGATTTTTTTGCGATTACTATAGTCTATAACTTACCCTGCGGAAAGTTAATCAATATTAATTAATACTCAGAGTAATTTTTTTAGACATATTTATATGCACTCGTTAACATATTAATACTAGTGGAGCGCATGGCATCGTGCCTTAAGGCAAATTGCTGGAACTTCCCGTACCGTAATTAAAAATTCGAGGAAAGAAAATAATTATTAATTATTTTCTTAATAATTGTTTTGAATAATTTCAAATAGATTATTTATTACATACTGTGTAATAACTTTTAAGTGCTTTTTAAATTGAGCGTCGAGCGTATTTTTATGAACGAGTCCATTTTTTGGAATTTAAAAAAAACGTTTTTTCTAAATATTTTGAGAATTTGGAAATTTTTGAAAATATTCGATTTTTTTTTTAAATTTTCGAAATATTCTCAAATTTTTGTGAGATTTTTTTTTTTTGAAAACAAGAAAAAATTTCAAAAATTGAACTTTTTTGAAAATTTCTATTTTTTTTTTGAAAATTTACAAAATTATTAAATTTTTTGTAAATGCATTTTTTGCACACTGCCTACTCAAGCAAAATGTTTTTTGAATTAATATAATCGGATGATTCGTTCTCTCAAAAACTGCATAATCATTTTTACATTCCAAAACCGCAAAATTGCCTTTTGCAAAAACGCCTCGCAATCGAGTACGAACCGAATGATTTTTCAATTTTATAAATCGGTTATTCCATACAGTCGAAAACGTCGAAGACATTTGTCTAAACCATATAAATAAACTTCAAAATTAAAAATCTTGGTACGGAACCCAAAAAAGTTACACAATATTAAAATCTCTAAAATTTCTGATACTAAAATATCTGATAATTTGATGTACATTTGTCCAATAAACATTTTTGATCGCCAAATGACGCGTTTTTAACTTATTTTTATTGAGAGTCTATAACCGCTGGACCTGCCTTCCCAAAAATTTAACCAGTTTTTTTTTTTTTTTTTTATTTTATTTTATTAAAATGGCCTCGTTCTATACAGACATTTTAGCCAATATCAATTAAATACATATTACATACTACAATATACATTACAAACTAATACTTCTGTATGAATATATAAATAATAATAATAATAATAATAATAATAATAATGATCATAATAATAATAATAGTAATACTATTAACCAAACTGAAGAAAACATACTAATAATAACTTATTATCATCAACTTGATTTCCGTAAATCTCTACAATTTTATATTACAATCAGTCATGAAATCCAGCAACACTCTATATATTCCAATATTACTTTCACTAATGATGTGTCTTGCATTTACTGGAAATTGAACTTTTAGCTGTTGTAGCCTTTTATACAATTTCTTCCGTTCATTTTTATATAATTTGCAATTCCAAAATATGTGATCTAACGTATCTAATGTGATACTACAAGCACAAAATGGATCTTCTTTAATACCGATTCTGAATAGATGACTGTTATTCCTTGTGTGTGATAGCCTTAGTCTACAGATTGTTGTTATTTCTCTTCTGTTCCATTTAATGTTTTGAAACCATGTTTTTCTCGATACCTTTGGGTTACACGGTTGGTAAAGTCTTCCTTTCAAACATGAATCTTGATCGAATACCTTTTGCCATTGAGACGTTCCAATCGTGGATAATATTACTATAATATTATTATAAGGGTGGTCCTTAACAAGGACATTTTCGAATTTCTTTGCTCCCAGGGGCGAAATTGCTTCCAAATCAAAAAAAAAATGATTCTCTGAAAGTTTTAGCTCTTTTTATAAACATTTAGATAGAGCGCACAATAAAAATTACTTGCATCTGTTTGTTACTAATATGTGCTCAAGAAATGTCGATCTATAAATTCGTGCGCCATCTGTGATCATTGATCGTGAACTCAAATCGTATGATACATAAGAATATTTATAAACCACATAACATGCACATAACCTCTTATTAAATGCATGTGAGCTGTTCTATAAATCTATTCATCATGG